ACACCGCGGAACAATTAAATACATTTGTTTGTGTGCTTTTGTACCCTGATTTTGTCCTGTAATTCTAAATCATTATTGAAGCATGTAACAGACGGACCTCTTCAGCATTCATTAAGGACTATAAGTGTTTGCTGTAACTTGTGTCAGGATCTGACCGAAGGAGAAGAGAATTAAATACAAAAGACTGAAATACAACAAAGACTTCCTTTCTGCCTCAATACTTCTGCAAAAACATATGTTCAGCCGTGCAGGCAACTGTTGGGTTAAGGACACTCTAAGGAAAAGAAACAAAAGACGCTCTCTGCTCTTGCATTCACAGTGGTTTCAAGCATATTCACTTGTTAAGGACTAGACTGTCAGCTGGTTCCTTTTGCAAGTGTAATTTCTTTCGTTCCTCTTGAAAAGCATTTTTTTGCGAATGTTTTACACTTCATATAATCTGGTGTGTATGCAAAGCCCACTCCTGCCTTGACATAATTGATGTCAGGCTAAAGGAGTAGCCTGCTCTAAGGGTAAATCTGCTGGAAAGGGTAACCTCTCAATCACCCACACATCAGCGGGTGCCAAGCTACTTTTTCTTTTGTATCTTTAAGTATATGAGTGGGACTCTCATTCCTAGCAGCACAAGGTGTCGCTATTAGACCCATACAAATGAGCTAAAGAAGAATAAAAGGAAGTTTTTTAAGGGGAGTGTAGCCTTTTTATTTCGGCTAGGTTTCGATATCACACTATTGAAAATTGTATTTATATAACATTCCTAAACCTGAGGGATAAACAGCTGTTCACTACCATGCACAAGTAGAGATCAAGTTGCTGGATGTCAGAGCATAAAAGCTGATGCTAAATATTCTTTAAAAATCGCATCATTCTTCGGAATGATGTTAAACACTTTTCAAACTGAAACTACGGAGAACAGGTTCCATTTATGATACCGCCATTGCAACTTACCTTTGATTAAATAATTTGGCATTTGTTGGTTGTATTCCATATTGCATGAATCCCTTGATAGATAGTCTATACACAATGGTCCATTTAATCCTCAAAAATCCATCAAATAGTTTTTAAATCCTGCCTGTGTGACAACACAATAGGCCTAGCAGGCAAACTTCAATATTACCCATAATTTTATTATTTCTTGTAAGCTTGCACAAAGAAATGTTGTGAGAAGTTTAAAATGACCCGTGCTGTTCATATATTAAATAGAGCATGTAAGGGATTTCTTTCATACCCATACAGGATGTCTGTTGTAAATTTAGCCAACAATGTCATAACACTCCTCATATGGGTTTAATCAAAGATCAGAATACAGTAGAGCAGACTTTATCCGTATGCTGATGGACCGTGTGTCTGTTCCACTACAACCTGTGCATCTCAGCAGGAACTTCAGCCTTTAATTTGCAGGACTGTAATACGTTCTCCTTGTTTATTTTAACCTATTTATTGCACTTATATTACTGAACTGAATTTATTTGTACTTTATTATATAATAATATGGGACAAACTGTATTATAGGGCACTGTATTTTGTGTCTGACAACCATGTTGCTTTCACAGTGGTGATTGGTCCCATTGGTGCAAATATCAGATCTTCTAAGGTATATGATTTTGACGATATATCTAGTGTTATTGGGCAAGATTTCTGTTCACTCCACATTGTCGGACATGGGACAGGCAGGTTGGCTCAGAAGCCTTGCCCCACTTGCCCCACAATCAAAACCCAAATGTTGTGTGCCTTAATGATTAAAGTTCAGGAGAGTCTCATAATCTGCTTGGATGATATCACTGTCCCCGCTTTGAAGACAAGCTGATTAGCTTGGCTAGGAACAATTCAAATAAATAATAATTTGGTCATTCAATCCACGACAGTTTGTGGGACACTGTTGTGGACAATTGGCTGCCATGTTTTGCCCACAAAATATACAGTCAATTCACTTTACAGTATATTCTGTGAAGCGCTTTGAGATGTCTCGAAGATGTGCTAAGGCGCTATATCAAATGCAAGGATTATTATTATTATTTATGCGCTTGAGAGAATATTATTCTACATTTCACTGATATTTGCGTTAGAAACTAAGAGAAGCAAATTGCTGTGAAGAAACATGGCCCCTTTACTTGCCAAAGCACTAAATAAAACCTATCTCCACTTGGCAAAAGTCCACTTTCCATTGACCCAAGCTAGATTGCACAATGGCCTCTAACTTGAAGAGGGTCCAATCTTTTTACGGCACTCTGTAGATCAGGTGGGGATGTTTAACAAGGAGCTCAACTCTCATGAAGGGAGTTCAGTTTCCCTTTAACCCAGACTTAAATCAAGCTACTGTAGGAGCTCAAAAGCTAACAGTTAAATAGAATAGCAACCTCCCTTTATTGTGGTAATAAACCTGAGAGCTATCTCGAGGCTCCTGCCACAGAATTACTGGAGATAAGTGAACTGCCTGAAATCAAAAAGTAGCAACAGATGCAGAACCTTCCAAATAAAGGATTAAAAGAAGTTTGTTTTACGGGAAGATGGCAACCTGGTCAAGAGATCAGAGGTGGATGATGCAAAATCTCCCTCAACTTAACTGATGCTAATGAGTAGAGGAAAGAGAAAGGGTGCAACCGATCGATCAAAGAAGTTATCCAAATAATAATCAATTAAGTTGAATTAATTGTGTATTTATATTTTACTTGGAGTTAACAGTCGGAAGAACTAAACTATTCCATCCCCAACCATCTGTTGTCTGAGTGTAAGTGAGATTGTGCCCAGCAGCATTAATACAGCTGAAACTGCTGTGTTAAATGAATCTAAAACATCCTGGATAACATAGTTTTTTATATAAAAAATGAACAATTTACTTCCTGCTCGAAGTCCTCTTAATTAATGTTGCTTATTTTTGCTCACAGCTTCATGTGTCTGATATTAATTCTGAATTAATGCCACCAGAATTGCGAGGTGCTTTGTTGAATAACATATAAATACAGAGGACCTTTTAGGACTGAGAGTTTTAATGAAGGTAGCTCAGGGACACAGTGAAAAACAGAAGAACTATTGCTCAGTATGAGACAAGCCAGTCTGAAGTTTTGAGTAACAGTGGAGGGACCAAACATCAAATCTCATTTCCTGATGTAGGAAAATAGTTACTGCATTTAACATGAAAGATTTCAGGCATTCTGGAAAGCTCAGTTCAACTTTACATGCCAAGAGCTTAACTACCGATACTAAGCAAATCCAAATCCAAGTAGCCTAGCAAGGGCAAAACACCAAGTCTCCAAGCCTGTGCTCTTACTGGTATTTTTTATCTGTACATCCAAACATCAGGGGCCAAATAATAATATACAGAAGTATGAATTACTTGATGTTTCCTGTGTTCCATATGGTCATTCATGTCTCTGGCAATTAATCACACAGAATCAGAGAATGGTCTCAGACGCATTGATGTCAGTGTTCAGCTGTACCTGTGCCAGTGGCGATGGCAGGGTCTGGAGGCGTGGAGCAGTAGCACAAAGTGCTATGGGCCCTGGAGCCAGAGGAGGTTAGCCTTGTTATAACCTCAGCTTCACTGGCTCCATTTCTTCTTCCTCTCAACAGAAATCTTATTTTCCTTTATTGTTCAAACCAGACGAATTACTGAGACGAGCTTTTGGTTTTTTTTTCCTCTCATGTAAAGGGTGCAACTAAGTTGATATTTGAGCTGTGACTTCAGCTGTGATGCAGGCTTTTTGGGGGATAAAATATTCTCATTGCCTCTTGAATTAATGTTGAGAACTGTGTGCTAACATTAAGCAGACTCTAATATTCTCTACCCACTAGTTACAGAATTTCTTTTAACCACCCACCTCTATTGATTGCTACCAGTTGTCTGCGAGAGATGCAAGAGAATATGCAAACATTTACCCCACCCCGCTCCAAAATCCACTGAAGTGGCTAGCAAGAAATATTTAATGGTTATTATGGACAGACGTACACACGATGACAACATGCAACTAAAGTAAAGTAAGATGGAAAAACTGCTTGGATCTCTACTTAGATCCAAAATAAAAAAGCTAATTATTTATTTGCTTAAAACTTTCAAACCTTCAGTTTTCATATCAGGCACTTGCTCTGTTGTCCACGGCTTTGTGTCTGTTAACCCTTTGTGTAGAATGAAAATCCTGCTCTGGTTTAGGCCTGCTATACTCCTGTCGCTTACCCTTGCCATTGAGGCCTGCATGCTATCTGGAGATGGAAAGGTCACCAGTGCTTGTTTGCCATTTCAAGAAATGCAGGAAAGAAATTTTCATCAGCCTGTAAACATTGGTTCTGTTTGAGTCTTCTGCTAACAGAAGGGTGAGATAAGACAGGCAATTGGGGTACCCAAACTGTTTGTTTGTTCTCTTGACCTGTAGCCTCAGACACACTGTCAATTGCAATCCAAAGGATACAAGCGTCTAAAAAAAATGTGAAAGCTTCACTCAGCAACAGATGAACAAGGGGCCTCAGAAGACAATTATCTGTCATTAACCTTCATTAAACTAATAAAGAGACAGAGACAGAGTGCCTTGGAGGAAAAAAATGTTGGTAGTGGGATTGAAAGCAGCAAGCATTCCCCATTCTTTCCAATGTTGTGTCAGTTGTTGTGTCAGTTGCTTTTGGGTGAGATATACAATTGAGATGTGAAGAATGATTTTATTTCTCCATGTCTCTCGCACTTGATAACATCTCTGTGTAGAGTTTCCACGTTTACCTGAACCTTTTTGACCTTTAACATTGCTCCGCTGCCAACTTGTAGTCCATTTATTCCAAACTGCAAAGGTTCACCCCGAGTGCACTGCGTAAATTGATTTACTTCAAATAAATATATTATCCATTTTGATCATCATTAACTTCATTTGCTTTTATTGATTTATCCATAGCAGGAGAGAGTAATAAAGGGGCTATTGATTTGTTTTGCTCTTACTTTATTTGCCAATGGGCTATTTTATTAATTTTCCCATTTATTGCCCGCTCGTTTTATAATTTTGTTTTTTTTTCTTTCCCAGACAAAGCTTTTGTTGCATGAAATCAATAAGGAGGAATGGCCTTCAGAAAAGCAGCGTGAAATTCTAAGCTGTCTTCTCCCACTTGTTGAGGAGCGTCAAGTCCTGAGAATGAGCTGGATGGCAAGGTAAGGCCTGCGATTTGTGATGGCCAGACATTTCTAGCAACCAGTGTTTCTGGTTGGACCTAACTGCACTAATTTCTTAATGAAAAAAATCAATAGAGGAGACAAATGCTAATAGCATGTGTCAAAAATATTTGCTTTTCCAAGGGGAAGGGAGGGGGAGGATAAGGAGAAAGACTGGTATAAAGAGATTGGTTGCAAATGCCACTGACTGACATTTTAATCAGAGGCTGGAGCCACTGGTGAAGGAGACAGAGCTGAGTCAGTGACTAAATGCTAGAAGTGCATTTTGAAAGCTTCACGGCAGACAGGGCACAGGCTGCTATCACTAAACACCTGAAGGAAAATATCTGGAGTGTGGTTTTCTTAACTGCCTCAAAACTTTGCTGAGATGTGTCCCCTAGAGGCTGATACACCCATGACCCCTTTTTGTTTGATGTTTTTCCTACCCAGTGACCCATCTTGAACATATGATGCATGAGAGTAGTACGAACAGATTGTTACCATACACCTCAGTTTACCTCATCAAAGCCTTAGACTGACTATTACTTATGAAGCTGAGGTGACTGCCTGTCATCTGGACTGAAGCGCCAACAATGGTAGCTATCAACTACACAGTGTTGAAAGCGATAAAACATCCGCCATGATGCTTCCATGCTGGTGTTTCAGAGATCAGGCTATTGTATATGTTGTCATTACATGGAAAACTATGTGCTAAGGCAGGAAATAATTAGCGTTTGTGTTTTTCTAAGAAGCCAGGCAGTTGTGTTGTACCAAATTACTTTCACCAGGTGAAGGCGGAATCAGCTGGATTTGATAAGTGCATGCCTCGACCTCCCGTTTCCTGAATGGGCTCAAGTGACTACATCACACGATGCGAAGGCTGCAGTTTGTTTGACAGACCATACTTTCTGACGGACGGCCTGTTATAGCTGTTCAAGAGGTGCTCAAGCCATTTGAACTGACCCCATCTTGACCATTCCTAACCAAAGGTCACCACTTGGTCAATAAAATATGAGAGGTGTTACAGATGGCAAATAAACATTAAAACTGCCAGCTGTGAGATTATTGGAGGCATGTTTATTTGTCTCTGTCTGTACGTGGACTGCTGTAGTCCTGCTAAGGTCACAATACAATAATGAAAATTATTTGCAAATTACACTGAGACCTTACCACATTAGCGCAATAAACACAGTGAATGCTCGGTGAGGCAAGAGGCATTGGGCTTGATAAATGGACTGTAAAGATGCCCATCTGGCTTCTAGGCTGCTTTTTAAGGGGAGGACAGATTCAGAAAAAAAAGACTTGGTGGATGTAGATGTAGTGACCCATAATGAATCAAAGGTATAGATTAAGAAGAAAAAAAGTGAGAGGAAAGGGGGCCAGTATAGTGGAGAATGAATATATGATGAATGAGAGAGGGAGGTTCACATTGTGATGAATAGGAGGAGATTGATTGTAGGAAGGCAAAGCGGGCTCAAACTGAGAGCACAGCCTCAAAATTGCTGAGAATGAAGCACAGGTTTAAATGAAGATGTCGGACTTGTGCTTGATGTTCAGCTGCCCACGAAGGCCTGTGACCCCCGTCCAGTTAAATCCGAGGGCATTTCCTTTGTTCGCCATGACCCTTTCTGCTTCCCTACCTCTGTCCTTCACCTGTGTTGCTTTTGTCTGGCAGCCTTGAAACAAATCGAGGCCTGTGCTCAATAGCTGGGAGCTCTGTGGCAAACAATAGAAATCTTGTTTGAATAAATGCTACATTTTAACAGCCACCAGTTGTCGTTTGATTCCTGCAGAACATTTTCCGCTTGCTGTCTCTCCCTTACGCCTCCTCCTTTTCAAGGATAAATCGGGTACATTCTTCTTTTCTGCACTTACTTCTAATGCGCTTGTGAAGGACAATGGACGGGGGATTTTTTTTATATAAAAAAAACGCAAGATGCGAGATTATTTTGGAGTACCACAGGAGAAAAAAAACAGGGATAAATCAGCAATCAACAGCCAAATGATGAAGTAAAGGCCTGGGATTCAGAAAGCTGGGACTTTATAGTGCAGAATTAGGAGAGTTAGTGTAGAGGTGAAAAGAGCTTCTGTCTGCTTTGCTAAAATTAATTGTGCAGAGAAGCCTAATGAAAGCAGCTTAGAAAAAGAACAGTTGTTCGTCGTTCATTACTAATGAGATTTTTCATTAAGTTAAATTGCTATTGGCTCGCTGAAAGGCAAAGTGAGGCTCTAAACCCTGAATGGACAAGTCTAGCTGGCTTACAAAGCACCTAAGGAGCCACATACAGGTATTTGGAAATAACGGCGGGCTTGTCGACAGATGTTCAGGAGATCGCGTTGGTTAGACTCATATTTCTCTTCCAGGCAGCCTATGCTATATACATCAGCCCAGGTGCAAGGTGGCCTTGCCAATAAACTGTCTCCTCCCAGCTCAGTAGCTCATCCCCACATCAGGGTGCGGGGGCTGTAATTAACACTCAGAAGGTTCGAGCTTTACTGGAGTGACGTGTGCAGTAATGATGGTGTTAGCTTCCTTAATTTCCCAGTTTCATCATCAATTATGCCATGTGTTTCATCCAGTTGGTGCTACCCTCCCATTGTTAATTATAACCTACAAGACTGTTACAGTTAATTTTATGGCAAGCATATTGTCTCTTCAAGGCTCCCGAGCAGCTCATAAATTATCTTGAAGGTGAAATGTAACTTGGGGAAATAGTTATGAAAATTCCATCCATCTCGCTTAGGAGGCGCAGCTGCTACTGTCAGCTGCATTGCTACTGCATTGTGAAGGAATTATGGTGGGTCAGGCCTAGGAGGCTGGGCTCAGGCTGTCACCGCAGAGGAAGCCTGTCCTGCCCCTGTCAGACATGCACCTTCTGCCTATCCCCTGTGGCCTCTCCTTTCAAGCAGTAAAAGGCAGCCTGTGCAGGTGTATGGTCCCAGAGCTGTCTGTGTTCATTATTTAACAGGAACCTTCTTTAAGTAGGCAGGTATGAAGACCTTTCTCTTCACTGCTGTCATGATGAGGAGTGGCAATACAGAGGTTGAAAGTACATAACTTCTTAAATAGAGTAATGTTCCTCCTCCGCCCCCTCTTCCCCACCCCCATCGAAAACACTTACAGGAACCTATTGTGGACTTTGACAGTAAAATCATGTTATATTTAAATTCAGACATACTGTGTTTTTGCTGAATCAATTTGGATAATACCACACCTTTTTACCTTTAAAAATCAACTTTATTCGGAATAGGGTTGCTGAATTGATTTTTGAATCCTGAATTATAGAAACTTTACAGGATAGAAAAAGGCTACTCTTTTAGAATTATGGGCCCATTTTCTAACATAGCATTTGCGGAATGATTTGTATTTAAACTTAGAATATTGACTGCAGGAAAAGGTTATGGGAGTTAGTATTGGACAGAAGAATTCCATGGTCTATCTCTTTTGTCATGGAGTGATAGTTGGCATCTTTGTACCAGTGATTTTTCCTAGCAGAACAGTCCAGAGACTGTCTGAATAGTTCGGGATCAGTGCTCAGTGGTAACCAGTGGGGATGAATTGGAAGATTCACTCACCCTCTCATGCCAATCTTGCTCCTTCCAGCAGCCAGTTCGAGGGCAGTATCAGACCAGGCAGTCCATCTACCTACCTGCTCGGCTGTTGACCAGTGTATGTTGGGAGAGCTGATGACCAGTACATGAAAACCCAATTGAACCCACAAAATATGAATTGATTCAAACTACTACACAGATTAATGGGAAGAAAAAAGCTGGTTCGAAAAGAAGCCAGACATTTGATTTGGCGAACACCTGCATTGTTACACTGAGCTTTGTGAATCAAAAGTGAATTAAAGTTTCTAATGGGAATATGCTCTGCCACGTTTGAAGAACAAATTTGAAAATTGTCGAACCTCCTAATGGATGTAATAAGGGCCCCGGGGAATAAGAATGTTTTCTGGAATAAGAGATTGATGGAATGACTTGTTTGCGCCTCTCGCTTTAATCATTTCTCTCCACCTTATTCCAGCAAAAAAAGAAATGCGCCCAAACTAGTTTTCTCCAAATACACCACAAAATGGTAAGCTTATCACTGTCTGGTTTCGCTGCAGAAATATGTACTGCAATTCTCAAAGATATGAAATTATTATCATGAATAAAGCAGAGTGTCGAGTGATTATGTGACCAATAATGAAGCATTATCATGACTAATATATTTGGTGTTTGGGGTTTGCGATTAGAGTTTCAAGGTAGTAGTATCAATGCATTCAAGTTCCCACTTGTACCAATGCATTTGAGTCCACCTTGTTCAAATATAGCAATACATGTATGTTGGAAGTTGGCAGAGAGCTTCGGAGCAGAACGTACGTAACTGTTTTTGTGTGATATTGGGGAACGCTTTATAACTTTGTTGACATATGTTGCCTCTTCTATTTGCTCAGTACGGTACTTGTCCAGCTGAGACCATTAAGGCTTTGGCAGGACTGGGTACATGTCTTCACTTCTAAGTGGACGTTTTTGTTTTGGTCAGCCAGATATCTGACACATGCGAAATCCCTTCACACACCAACACATTAAAATTTTCCTGGGTCTGGAATGGAATGTGCACTCTCTCTCTCTCTGAAAAGACGCACCCTGCTTATCTAATTCTGGAGCGTATTTGCCGCAGGTTGGTGAGAGTCGAGGCTTGGTGATCCCAGAGTGTCCATTGGGCTACTTGCTTGAGTTTAACCAGCTAAAATGCAGAGCTTGCCAATGAGAGTGGCGTCTGGAAAGCTTCCACTGCTTGTCCGGCGAGGACCACCCTCCCTGATAGGGCTTTGACTTTGTAGGATCTACAGGACCTGATTGGAAGAATCCTTGCTCCCAGTAAATATCCATGCTTATTCCCTCCAGATAATACTTTTAGATTTTGTGCTTTATTAACCCCGGGAGAGGTCTAAGTGAAAGGCTGAGTGGACTCATCAGAATTCAAACCAGGGCCAAACTCTGATCCCTATTCT